GGGGGGTCTAAAAATCGTTCACTAGGACAGACCCAAGGTTTTTTTTAGTTCGTTGACAGACACCACGTAACGCGTGATTCACGTTGAATAATCCAAACGGATTCGGTAGACACTAGACATGGCTCTGTCATCTGTATTTTGTGTTTTCCATGTGTATGGTAAATAAAGTGTTGTGCGGCATTCTAGCATTTAGTTTCGGGCAGTTGAGTCGTCTTCATAAAAGGATGGATGTATGATGCTAACTCATTTGAACTACTCCCGTTTGAACTATTGTTCGTTTGAACTACTCACGTGGTACCACGGATACCACGTGAGTAGTTAAAATGAACAATAGTTCAAACGAGTTTATTTCATGCTCATTTGAACTATTTATTAGTTCATTTAAACTTTAAACTAAGATTGTTCGTTTGAACTATTTTTATGTTCATTTGAAATTTTTTGTTCATTTGAACTATTTTTATGAATTCTTTTGAGCTATTTTTATGTTCATTCAAAATATTTTTTTGTTCATTTGAATTAAATGCTCTTTTGAAACATTTCATGTGTATAATGGATCTAATTAAAATGTATGACATGACATGCTACAGGGTGTCCCACCATATTAGATCGTCAATCAGTCTAAATTACGATTTTCGGGACTAATCAGAAAATTTATGAAAAAGAATCATTTTGAAAAATTGAATAAGGCTAATATAAGAATTACTAGTTTTTTTCGAGTAAATTTTTATTTTCGAGTATTGGTTTTATTTTAGCGTTAAAGCTTGGAGATAATCTAATTATATATGGGACACTCATGTATATATAACTTCATGTATTATAAAAAAATTTAAAAACTGAATTGGTGAAATGAGCTGAGCAAGTAATGTGTTGATTTGAACTACAGGATATGACGTCATATCAGTACAGTTCAAAAGATCAATAGTTCAAACGAACAATAGTTCAAACGAGGGTAGTTCAAATGAGAATCCATGCGGATGTATGGATGGATGAGGGAGATGGGGATGAAAACTGCTATCGTTTGCTTTAATGTCCGATTGAACTAACGTTCATTTTGCACTAAAGTCAGCTGATCATAAACAGGTTTGTATTACGATTGAACATACAGTGCAATGAACACAATTATCGAGCGAATAATGTATTCAATTGAACTAAAATTTTGTTTCCCGCGAGGAATATTTTATTTTCACGCCGGGAATATTAGTACAAATTTGGATCATTATGTGCAATTGATCTGGAATACTATGTCGAAATTGAACGATAGTGCAAATGAACATTTCCCACAAAAAAATTGTTCTAACGAACTTAATTAATGTATTTTTCTGTAAATATTAGTGCAAATAAACATTTCTCATATAAAATTATTCAAGCAGACTAATGTTTTTTTCTGTAAATATTAGTGCAATTGAACATTAGCGCAAATGAACATTTTCAACAAAAAATTTGTTTAAACGGAGTAATGTTTTTTTTCTTTAAATATTTATAATTTATGGGCAAAATTCGTATTGCTATTGTGTAAGATAGATTTTTTATAAGTATTTCTTTTTTTCCAGAATCTCACATAATTATATCAATATTTTTGAAGATTAAAGGTTAAAAACCAGAAATGTGTAATGTGCATTACATGTTCATAAAAAAGTATGAATTGGTTTATGCTTGTTTTTTTTAATGCATCTTTTTAAAAAGAAAATAGTATTTTTTTACATGAATTTAAATATTTAAAGAATTTATAGTTAGAAATATCTACAACAAATTGCAGGTGCTAAAGATTTAGGGGCTGAGAAATCCCAAACTCAATTCCTATATCAATTATGATCATGTGTTTGAAGTTTGAACCAGATCATTTATTGATTTTACATAGTTCTTATCGAGATTTTCAAAGAACTAAATCGAAAATTTCAAAAGATTGAATTATTTAAATTTTTTAAAAATATTTGCATAAATTGTATAACAATTGTTACTAGCGAAAATAATAAATATTTTAAAGTATTCCTTGCGTATACTATCAGTATTAAGTATTTCTTGTGCAATTCTGTCTGTGAAAATGAAAAGTTGCACTATTTTCAAGACTGCAGTTGACTTTGAAGTGTCGCAATTAATTGAATTTTTTGTAGCCCTACACATGTGTCATTAATCTCTTGTTTTTAGCTTTTTTAAAAAAAAGTAATTGTCAAAGTTCTAGCCCTACACATGTGTCATTAATATCTTGTTTTTAGATTTTTTAAAAAGAAGTAATTGTTAAAGTTCTAGCCTTTATACATGTGTCATTAATCTCTTGTTTTTAGCTTTTTTTTTTAAAGAAGTAATTGTCAAAGTTCTAGCCCTACACATGTGTCATTAATCTCTTGTTTTTAGCTTTTTTTTAAAGAAGTAATTGTCAAAGTTCTAGCCCTACACATGCGCCATTAATCTCTTGTTTTTAGTTTTTTTTTTAAAGAAGTAATTGTCAAAGTTCTAGCCCTACACATGTGCCATTAATCTCTTGTTTTTAGCTTTTTTTAAAAAGAAGTAATTGTCAAAGTTCTAGTCCTACACATGTGCCATTAATCTCTTGTTTTTAGCTTTTTTTTAAAGAAGTAACTTTCAAAGTTCTAGCCCTACACATGTGCCATTAATCTCTTATTAATAGCTTTTTTAAAAGAAGTAATTGTCAAAGTTTTAGCCCTACACATGTGTCATTAATCTCTTGTTTTTAGTTTCTTTTTTAAAAGAAGTAATTGTCAAAGTTGTAGCCCTACACATGTGCCATTAATCTCTTGTTTTTAGCTTTTTTTTAAAGAAGTAATTGTCAAAGTTCTATAACTGAGTTTTGTGTGAGAGCTTGCAACCTTTGGATCACCATGACAGTTGAAGTTTAAACTCCTAAAGATAGGTTAGAACAAGGAAAATTGAATAGATTGAGGGGGCGATTGGGTTTCCGTACACTTTGCTGTGACGTTTTTGAACTGCTGAAGAACTAGTTTATGCGTAACAACAATAACAAAGGCAGCCGATCTAATGTAAACAAACATGAGTTAGTATACGGTGAATCTTCATCTAACGCCAGAGATGCACCAGATGTCTGTTTATCCTTTGTGTTATTGTTTACAATCTTTATTATTGTTGTTACGCAAAACTAGTTCTTCAGCAGTCCAAAAACGTCACATCAAAGTGTACGGAACCCAATCCCCCCCTCCTTCTATTTAATTCTCCTTGGGTTAGAATATGATTGAAGACTTTATTAGTCTTGGTTTAAGAATTCCCAAAATGTTTGAACCTGATATAGTATAGTGATGTGTGTAAAATCAATTTTCTTTTTGCTTTGTTTAATCATATAAGTTAAGAAATTGTTACCAAATTGTTTATCCTTATCATTCACACTATGCCTCATCTATGATATGCAAATTGTATTAAAGACAGTTTCAAAATCTTCAAAGTTTAATTATAAGTTTTAAAAGAACGTACCAAAATTATTCACAACACAACCTTATAGGCTATCAACTATATAGGTTTAATCATAATTGTGAAATATATACACTGAGACCCACTTAACTGTGGTACAAAAAGATTTGAATTATAGTTTTAAAAATAGTCCAATCGACATAAAACACAGCAGTTGTAGTAAACCTAAGAAAGAAAGAAAGGAATAAACCTAAGATGATTGATTTTTGTGTAAAAAAAAAATTTCTAAAAGCCTACAGCTAAAAGTTTTAAAAAGGTACTTTTTGGTTTATCTTAGCAATAACTCAGTCTTTAACATTTCCTCTAAATATTACTCTTTCTAATTTTTTAATGTTCCTCTGGATTAGTCACTATTCGAATTTAAAGATTTATTGAAATTTTGAAAATGATCATAGAATTATTTTATAATAAAGGATGTTCAGGGGTTTATTTTGTTCTCCACACATTGTTGAAGAGCTTGTTCGAAAGCTAGATCTGAACACCAAAGCTGTTCGTAGAGATTGTTGCTGATTCCACCAGACACTCCATTGGTCTTAGCACTTCGCTCTGGTGTGGGACTGGGACAATCCGGATTATCGGGATTTTCCTCGCAAAACTTCTTACATTTTGGACTGTTAGGTCTTTTGCATGGATTCTTATTAACATTTGCCTGTTTACTTTTAGGAGGACATCTAGGATCTTCTGGATTCTTCTTGCAAAACTTTTTGCATTTACCACTTTGAGGATCGGTGCAAGGATTACCAAGTTGTCTTCCAGTTTTACATTTTTCGGGGTTTTCCTTGCAAAATTTAACGCATTCTGGAGTTGACACATTTTTCTTACGACAGGTTTTTCCATTGACCTTTCCCTGTCTTTGAAATTGTTTACCACTTTTGATGACTACATTGTCACATTTTTTTTTATCTGAATTTTGTCTGCAAGGTTTACATTTCTTATTTTCTCCCTCTTCCTTTTTAGCAGAACAGACGATTGTCTCTTTCTGAAGTTGTCTGTTACATCCTTTTAATTCTGGTTTTTCCTTACATTCGTTTTTGGTTGGTGTTTTGTTGGCCCCTGCTTGTCTTACCTTGCAATTTTTCTTGCTTGGATCACACCATTTCTTACAGTCCCCTTTCGGATTCCATTTTATACATACTAAGCCATCATTAGCTTGTCTTCTTATTCTTTTGATTAGGCTGGACTCTTGAACATTAGCATCTCGCCTTACTCTAAATCAGTGCCATGGTTATTTCTGGCAAAAAGAAAAAAGTATAAAAGTGAATGAAATTTTAAAAGCATGTCTGCATGTGTTCTGAAAAATACTATGGCGTTCCTAGAGTTTGAAGGAGTCCATCGCTGGCATTGATTGACTTTGCCTTCAAAATCGGATTTGATTGTTGCGTCCATTCCCTCCATGTTTCCCTTGATAACATCAACATTTAGGCTCGTGCCATCAGTCCATCCTATTGCTTTATAAAAGCAAACTTCTCTCTCTAAAATATTAAAAATAATAAGGAATTGTTTAACCCTATCCCTGCTGGGGTACTTGAAAACCAGGATATGCTGGGGGGGGGGGGTCAATTTGACCCCCCCCTCTAAATCCCATGTTTTATGTCCAAATGTGACAAATGATACATCATTAGAAAGCTCTTGTGTGCTACTTTTAGAATCTGCAAAAAATTGTGCAAATGTGCAAAAATTGAATTTTTTATCGCAAAATCCAGTTATATAGTAAAAATGTTTGCAAAAAATTTTTTTTCCAAAAAATAAAAAATTATACATTTTTGACAAGCCCTTGACCATGCCATTTCAAATATGCAAAAATTTTTACAAAATTTGAAATAACCTGATTTTTAATCAAGAAAAACTAAAAATGTGCAAATTTCCTTTGACCGGTTGTTTGCAAAAAAATTGCAATTTTTTTTTCGCAAAACTTGTGCAATCTGTTTCCTAATGTCATAGGCTTTCTAAAAAGCTAAATCAAAATCTGACAAGTGAAAGTGGGTCAAAACAAAGATTTAGTTTGTTACAGGCAAAAGCTGTCATTCAGGCAGTGTGCCTGAGGACTCAGGCAGTTAGTATTAAAGCCCGGTTTTAGGCCTAAAGGGAGGGCTTTGGATATGTTAGAAAAGTCAGAAAATTTTAACAGCCTCAGACCAACACTTTTTGAGTTATGTAAAAAAACTACAGGGAGGGGGGGCAAATTGCCCCCCCCCCCCCAGCAGGAATAGGGTTAAGCTTTGTTCCACCAATACATTGAGTGGTTAAATTCTTTATCATGGATTGATGGAACCAAATTTAATTGAGCTCTCAAACTTTCAATTATTGTTACGTATTGAGACATAATACATTTTGATACATGTAACGTAACCAAATAAACTAGCTTTAAGCATACTTGTGCACAAAATTGAAACTAGAGGAGCTACGAATTTACAAAGTTGTAGCAGAAATTTTGCATTAATTTGACCTTCTTCTTCTATTAGCGGATGGTGGGACCTGTTACCTTGGAAACTATCTGAGACTCCATACTCTCCTTCGTCTTCGTTCTCTTTTGCAAGCTGTTCCCAGTCATAGCCATCCCCAAAGCATTTGTTGTAGGCAGAATCAAACAAGGAGCTAACTGTTGCTGAAATAGTGGTTCATTATTGGTCAGCCATTGCGATTTGATTTGATCTCAGGCAAACAGGAACTTATCACTCTCCTCTTTCTCTTATTTTCTAATCCTTTTCTTGATGCCAATGCAATCCAATGTTGAGTTGTAATTTGTAGACCTTTGACATTTCAAACTATGAAGTTTGTTAGATTATATTGTCAAAGGTCTAAACATCAAGATGCAAATTAGAAAGTTAGAGTTTAAGAAGAGTAATAAGTTTCTTTATTAAACTGAATCAATTTTGAAACAGCTCAGCACCTTTTGCATCTATAAAAGAGTTTTTTTTAACCAATGAAATATCAGGAAATCTGACGGAATGTTTTTTAACCAATGAGATATCAGAAAATCTGATTGGATTTTTGTTCAACCAATGATATATCAGGAAATCTGATTGTGGTTGTGTATAACCAATGAGATATCAGGAAATCTGACTGGGTTTGAGTTCAACCAATAAGATATCAGAAAATCTGATTGCTTTTTTTACCAATGAGATATCAGGAAATCTGATTGGATTTGAGTTCATTCAATGAGAAATCAGGAAACCTGAAAAAGTTTGTTCCAACCAATGAGAAAACAGGAAATTTGATTAGGGTTGTTTCAGCAAAAGAAATATCGTAAAATTTGATTGGGTTGGTGTGTAACCAATTATATATTAGGAAATATGATTGGGTTTGTTTCAGCGATGAGATATCAAGAAACCGCAAGGATATGACGTTTCTGCCAATGAGATACAAGAACATTTGTTTTATTGTCGCTAACTCATTACTATTAACTGTTAAGATACTTACAGTCTGAAGCCAGGCACGACTTCATGGCAAGATTTTCTGAAATCTCAACTTCCTAATGAAAAATAAACTATTAAAGTCTGAAAACAAGACATTAAGATAATTATAAAATTGGCAAAAAAAAAGTAAGAGTCTACAATTAAGATATATAAACAAATATTTATAAGCCTTTCAGCTAATTCCGTCAAACAGGGTACATGTCCAATTCACAACAGCACCCGTTAAAAGGTTTAAAGGACACTCTTATAAATCAGGCACTCTATAAATGGGCAAGTCACCCTTAACCAAACTTTTGGTGTGTTCTGTCATAATCTGCTGTACTCTGACCAAAATATTGTAGCGTTTAGTGGAGAGCAAAGTGGTTAAATTTCCAACAGATTTTCTTACCCTGACTTCGCCATCCACATAATCTTGAAATGCATCCGGTTGTTGTGCTGTTGCTAGGCCGACTAGTAGAAAGACTGACATCTGAACCACGTACCGTAACTAAACATCATAAACACGGCAATCCAAAAGTTGAAAGCTCTAGCGCAAATATCGATGAGAATGTTTTTCAATTACTTACTAAAAACTAATGCTATAGAAACTAGTGCTTTACAGATCTAAAATGTACCCCAAAGCGTTGCAGCTCTTTAAAGTCTACCCAGCCTTGAACAGTAATGTAATTTTTTGGAGGTGTCGAGAAAAAAGTTCAAATTTGCCAAGAAAGTGTAGACAAGATAAAAGAGATTACAAAATGAGACGAAAGTTATAAAATCTACTAATAATGATAATACATTATTATTACGTTTGTACCAACTATCTACTCTAACAGTATTTTCTTAATTAGGTAGAATAATGCTAGCAATTTTACAGTTGAAAAATATAGTTTTTGCACAATTTTAGCCTTAAATTTTTTAAAGCTCTATTTTAAATCTATTTTTGCACATTAAAAAAAGAGTTAAGAGTAAAGTTTTGGTGAACAAAATATAGAATTGTAAAAATCTAAACATGAATTAAATCTAATTCAGGAGAGAGATAATTTGAATCAAATAATAACCTTGAAAAATTTCGAGGGTTTTACGCTTTCAAGAAGCTTAAAAAATACTACATTATCTTTTTTTTATTGTCAACATTTTGAGGAAAAAATTTGCAGTAAATAAAATTGAGAAATATCCTAAGCTGCGCATATTGTGCTATCCCGCCATGAAAGCCAAAAAACAGTAAATGATAAGATGAAGGGATTAAAGCAATAAGAAGTAGAATAGGATAAAGACAGAAAATAATTTGGATAGGTTATGAATATATGATAAATTGGATAGGATATAGCTAGACATATGATAAATTGGAAAGGATATAGCTAGACATATGAGAAATTGGATAGGATATAGCTAGACATATGAGAAATTGGAAAGGATATAGCTAGACATATGAGAAATTGGATAGGATATAGCTAGACATATGAGAAATTTGATAGGATATAGCTAGACATATGAGAAATTGGAAAGGATATAGCTAGACATATGAGAAATTGGATAGGATATAGCTAGACATATGAGAAATTGGATAGGATATAGCTAGACATATGATAAATTGGATAGGATAAAGCTAGACATATGAGAAATTGGATAGGATATAGCTAGACATATGAGAAATTGGATAGGATATAGCTAGACATATGAGAAATTGGATAGAATATAGCTAGACATATGAAAAATTGGATAGGATATAGCTAGACATATGAGAAATTGGATAGGATATAGCTAGACATATGAGAAATTGGATAGGATATAGCTAGACATATGAGAAATTGGTATAGGATATAGCTAGACATATGAGAAATTGAATAGGATATAGCTAGAGTTTAAGAAGTTAAATCTAAAAAATTAGTTGAATAAAAAGTGGAGTCTATAAAAGTTAGAGAAAAAGTTGAAAAAATAAGAAGTTGAATATGATAAAGTTTTTTAAAATAAAAAGTTTTAAAAGTTGAATCCAAAACTAAAGATAAATTACATTTAATAAAGTTAATTTAAAAATGATAAATTTGAAAATGTTAAATAAAGATAAAGAAGATAAACCTGTAAAAGTTAAAGATAAAGTTGAATATTATATATTAAGTTTAAAGTCTAAGAAGCTGAAGAAGATTAAGTTAAAAGTTTAAGAAGTTAAATATTATTGCAAATCAAGTTGTATTTTATAAAGTTTAAAGAACAAGAAGTTAATCTTAAAAAAGATCAAGTTTGAAATGATAAAATTTAAGAAGTTAAATTTATAAAAGTTAACGATAAAGTGGAATATTATTAATTTTTAAGATTAAGTTGAATATTATAAAATTTAGAGCCTAAAAAGTTGAATATGATAAGTTTAAATTTTAAAAAGTTGTATATAATAAAGTTTAAAGTTTAAAAAGTTGAATATGATAAAGTTTAAAGTTTAAAAAGTTGTATATAATAAAGTTTAAAGTTTAAAAAGTTGAATATGATAAAGTTTAAAGTTTAAAAAGTTGAATATGATAAAGGTTAAAGTTTAAAAAGTTGAATATGATAAAGTTTATAGTTTAAAAAGTTGAATATGATAAAGTTTAAAGTTTAAAAAGTTGTATATAATAAATTTTAAAGTTTAAAAAGTTGAATATGATAAAGTTTAAAGTTTAAAAAGTTGAATATGATAAAGGTTAAAGTTTAAAAAGTTGAATATGATAAAGTTTATAGTTTAAAAAGTTGAATATGATAAAGTTTAAAGTTTAAAAAGTTGTATATAATAAATTTTAAAGTTTAAAAAGTTGAATATGATAAAGTTTAAAGTTTAAAAAGTTGTATATAATAAATTTTAAAGTTTAAAAAGTTGAATATGATAAAGTTTAAAGTTTAAAAAGTTGTATATAATAAATTTTAAAGTTTAAAAAGTTGAATATGATAAAGTTTAAAGTTTAAAAAGTTGTATATAATAAATTTTAAAGTTTAAAAAGTTGAATATGATAAAGTTTAAAGTTTAAAAAGTTGTATATAATAAATTTTAAAGTTTAAAAAGTTGAATATGATAAAGTGCAAATTTCAAAAAGTTGAATATGATAAAGTTTAAAGCTTAAAAGTTGAATATGATAAAGTTTAAAGCTTAAAAAGTTGAATATGATAAAGTTTAAGGTTTAAAAAGTGGAATATGATAAAGTGCAAATTTCAAAAAGTTGAAAATGATAAAGTTTAAAGCTTAAAAAGTTGAATGCTTACCATGATGCTAAGTCTTCTAGACGAATTTGACTTCTGACTAATCTATGAACCTGGACCAGTATTTATACCCTTCAACAGATGGATTAGATTATTACAGATGTAAATATTATAAAATATCTTTAAGATTATATGTTTGGAAAATTAAAGCCTATCTTACGCTTATTTAGTTAGTTGTTCTTCAAATTATTCATTTAATTATATGTAAGCTGCCCAAAATCAAAATTGGGATAGTAACGATCTACTGTCCAATCACAATCCTTTGAAAATAATTTACCATTTCATCGTTTATTCCGAAAAATGTCTACCATTTCAGTATTTATTCCGAAAAATGTCTACCATTTCATTAATTATTCCGAAAAATATCTACCATTTCAACATTTATTTAGAAAAATGTCTACATTTCAGTATTTATTCCGGAAAATTGTCTACCATTTCAGTATTTATTCCGAAAAGTATCTACCATTTCATTATTTATTCTTATAAAATCTACCATAGAATCTACATTTTTATATGATCTGTTTGAGTGAAACAGAAAAGATTAATTGATCTAATCAAGGGTACTTTTATGAGTCAGGCATGATGTCACTCTGAAATGGAGGGTGACATAAAAATTATATATCCAGCTCTTTCTGTCAGTGGATATAAATATTTTTAATCCTTTGAGGGTATCCAACATTTTGTCCAGCAGGCATTGTCGAACATTTTGGTTTGAATGAAAATAAATCTTTACCAAAAACTCTGATTTTCTAATCTTTTTATCTTTGCAATCCAATGTCGTAGACCTTAGATATTTCAGACCATGAATTCTGTTAGATCTAATGATTTAAGTTTTAAGTTTAAAAATTGAGTTTGGGGTTAAAACTCAATTCCTTCCTTTTTTTACAAGAAAAAGATGATAAATTTCTGGAAATACAACAGGTAATTAAAACAGTTACAGTAAAACAGGTACAGTAAAAACTTATTAAAAATTATTTCAAAATGGTAAACGCTAGACATTCCTCTAAAGAGACTTTAAAATGGTAGATATTTCCCCCGAAATGTAGAAAATGGTAGATATCCCCCGAAATGTAGAAAATGGTAGATATTCTCCCAGAAATGTTAGGAAATGGTAGACATTCCCCCCAAAATGTAGAAAATGTTAGATATTCCCCCCGAAATGTTAGAAAATGGTAGATATTCCCCCCAAAATGTAGAAAATGGTAGATATTCACCCCGAAATGTAGAAAATGGTAGACATTCCCCCCAAAATGTAGAAAATGTTAGACATTCCCCCCGAAATGTAGAAAATGGTAGATATTCTCCCCGAAATGTAAAAAATGGTAGATATTCCCCCCGAAATGTAGAAAATGTTAATATTCCCCCCGAAATGTAGAAAATGGTAGACATTCCCCCCGAAATATAGAAAATGGTAGACATTCCCCCCGAAATCTTAAAGATTTTCAATGTGAAAAACTATTTTGTAATTCTTGCTCCTCCCTTTAACTCTCATTTATTTTTATGTGTTCCACCCCGAGAATGAAGGTACCCGACCTCTCCTTGACGGATTCCTGTACGTTTATGAACTGTATCCTCTCCAGTGGCTCCAGCTCCCTCCATCCCATGAGCAGCATGACATCCAGCAGCACCTCTTCTTCAAGTCAGCATCATTGCAAAAACTGACTCTCCAGTGGGAGGCTGCGTGTTAAACAGCCCCTGGCTATCAATGCCTCCCCGTCTCATGTTTATAAATATGTTTTGAAATATGATATTTTCTATGTTTTTGGCTTGGGACAAATATATATATTTGATTTGATTTGATATTTGAAATGTAGAAAATGGTCTACACAAAAATAAGCTTTTTCTTAATTGAATGAAAACAAACATTATTCATCATTATTCAATCAATCTAAACAAAAACATTTTCAATTAAGTTTCTGAAAGATTAAGTACAACACATAAAATGTCTTATCTCTTTTCAATAACAATGTAAAAAGGAAGTGCGTCTTTGACACACTATCTATTTGCTACTTGATCACGGGTAGCCGTAGTACATTTGAATTTCCGAGCCGGGTCAACCTTTTCGGTCTCAGTTTTTACGTTATCGCCCGGACATTAGGTGAATAAAGCAGACACTCAATAGGACTAGCCGGTGAAACAAGGTTGACGCGGTCAGACTTGAGGTTAAAAATTTACTTTTACTGGAGGGTTAGAGGTGCGTGTGGATGGTGTAAACCTTTGATATTTTAAACAAAGGCTCAATTCATCCTTTGTCATATTGTCCGATGTTTAATGAGGCAAAAAGCAAAAAAATATTTTCTTAACTGCCAAACCTCTCGTTGGACCAGATTAACACGAGTAAATGATTTTGAAAATCAGGTGTCACAGCACAGGATAATATTTGTTTAAAATTACAAAATGTGCGTTTTACACTTTTTAAAAGACTTTTAAATAATGTAAAGAAATTGATTTTTTTGCCTTAAATTTAAATTTTCTAATCCCTATTTCTTTGCAACCTTATGTTCTAAACCTTTGCAATTTTGATAGTTTGATACTTTGAATATACATAGAGCATATTTGATTTGAAATATCAAAGTTCTACGACCTCAATTTTCAAAGATATGGGGTTATAAAATTAAAGTTTGTGGCAAAAACTCAGTTCCTTTAAAAACTCTTAAAAACCGATGTAACACTTTGCATCAATAGTATCACTTGTAGGTTGAAATTTTCTTAATATAAATTTTAAAAAATCATCGTACTATTTGAATAAACTTTAAGATGTGAGTACGTATTCGAAATAAATTCAATGCCAACAAAGGAATTGAGTCTTTGCCACAAACTCTGTTTTTCTAATTTCAATAACTTAGCAACCAAATGATGTAGATACAAACAATGAATTCTGTTTGATTAAATAACGTAAGTAGTAAATCACATTATCAGATTGCAAAGATGTAAGGATTAGAAAATTTGTGTGCAATGGATCAATTCCTCTTCAGGAGAAGTCGAATTTATATTTCAGTACTTTTATTATAATAAACTAGGATAATATTAGCTTTAAAACTCAGATTTTCAAGGTCTTCTGTTTAATTACTTTAAAAATTACGACTTAAAAAATTTAAAAATATGGAATTTTCCGCCGAACCTTTTTCTTAAGTCATTTGCAAATGTTAAATTTTTCCATCTGTTCGTTGCATTTTCAACATTTCGAGATATATCATTTTAAGCATACTCTACAGCTACAATTATATTTATCTTATTGTTATTTTTATCACGTATTTCTACAAAAATAATATTTTAAGTTTTCTGTTTACAGTAATTATTTAAATGGAAAATTTACTAAAATAAAGATCTAATGAATTGATTTGCTGCAAGCACGTTAGCTGATGTTATAAATTATTATCAATTCTATGTTTACTAATAAAGAAATTGATACAGAAACCGGTTTAATCTGACATCTCAAATATGTTATGGAATTCACAAATTACATTATAGATCAATGAGTATAATGTAATTTCTGATATCTTTGCATACATTTGAACATAATTAAAATTCGAATAAAGTATGAGGTTTAAGTATTGTGACGATTACTTATGGAGATTTTATTTAGATTATCCACATTTACATATCAAGTAATAATAACTGCTTAATTGGTTGTCTGTTAGTATGTATGATCAAAATTTAGGAGCCCCTTGATCGATTTGTCTAAGATTTTGGTTGGGGAACTCGGTAGTACCACAGGAAATTTCTCAACCTGCATGGTTTTACAATTCTAAATTGAGTGGGTCGGCTTTTACAGGGAAAACTCCTAGTGAAGTTGGGTTTCCAAATAAGCTTGTCCAATATAAAGTTAAAACTCAAAGAACTTCACAATGCGAATAAAATGTAACTGCACCAGGAACTATACATATATGTATACTTTATATTTCTTGATATAACACAAGGAACTATACATATATGTATTGATGTAACACAAGGAATTATACAAGTATGTGTACTATATATATCTTGATGTAACACAAGGAACTATACAAGTATGTATACTATATATATCTTGATAACGCAAGGAACTGTACAATTATGTATACTATATATATCTTGATGTAACACAAGGAACTATACAAGTATACTATATATATCTTGATAACACAAGGAACTATACACGATATGTGACAGAATAAATATGCTTTTTTCATTCTTGTACAATTACAGCTGTGGAAAGCCTATAACAAAAGCAAGCAGATTGCACAACTTTTGAGAAGAAATTTTGCAAAATATTTTGCACACCAGACGTTAGTCGGATAAGGCTAAAAATGTCTCATTAAGTTAAATTTTTGGCCAAAAATTGTAGAAATATATTTTTTATTTTTTATTATGTATTTAAAGCGTTTAAAAATGTATAAATGTATATTTAACATGTTTAAAACAATATTTAATTGTTTATTTAACATTATTACAAAAGCTGAAAAATTCAAATAGATAACCTTCAAACTGTGCAAAAGTCATAACTTTGATGTAATTTAGCAAATTAAAAGCAAATATAAATCATGTTCATGGACATTTTACAGTCTAAAGATAGAAAAAAATGTGCAGTTTTGGAACTTGTTTTTGTACAGTTGCATTATTTTGATGATACTGTATTATTGACTGATAGGAATTATTTTTAACAAAAAACATCCCTAAAACGTTCTCGGGGAAAAAGTTTTTGAAAATAAAGCTCTAAAATTTGGCACAAAAAGAATCCTGTATAATAAAAGTCCATAAAATTAAAGGTCTTTGTAAAAAATCCTTCATGCGTGCAGACTTTTTTTTGTGAGAATATATCCCAAGACTCTAAACCTCCAAGTTGGTTTCATATTCCGTTTTTTAGAAACTTTTTCTTTCGTAACATTCTATCATATGATTCGGAAGGAAATGGAAATGAAAAGTTAAAGACTGTACCTTAGACCCAACGTAAGAATTAACTGACAAACAGATTGTGTAACGTGATTGACAGACATTCTGCCATAGGAATTGAGTCTTAGCCACAAACCCAAATATTAAAATTCTAATATCTTTGCAACCTGATTGTGTAAGCTTTTGATATTTCAAACTTAGATTATTTGAACTAACAAAATTCATAGTTTGGAATATCCAAGGTCTAAGACATTGGGTTGTAAAGATATGGGGGTTAAAAAATCAAAGTTTGTGGCAAAGACTCAAATCCTTTAACCCTGACAGAAAAAAAGACAAGAAACGAACCAAAAACGACCCAAAAATAGTCTTTGGTCGTTTATTATTATTTTTAGGGATAAAATTATGGCTAAATTTCATAAAAGCAAAACTGAACCTAACTTTTCAAATCTATAAAGTTTCAGAGAAGGATCCAAAACGATAAGTACCGTACCACCCGCGTACAGTACCGCACCACCCGCGTACCTGCATAAAACAAAATATATACAACCCTTACCATGGCTGTGTAAAATAAAAGATATATATATTTAAAGTATATATATTTGTTAGTTTTCTGTTTCATGATTTTTTCGATTTATTTTTCTAAGGATATATCTTACCCTTTTTCCAAAGTACATGTTTTTTTTATAATTCATGCACCATCTTAAGACTCCTGAATGTGTGTTCAATTATTAACTAAAGCTACAGGTTTTTAAAAAACATTTATTTGGGTCAAAAACAATTCTTAAAGATTTTTCCATCTGTTGGGCTGAACGACAAAAAAACCTGACAGAATTAAAACCCTTGATCAATATTGCTGGCGGTGACGAACAATTGTTAAAATTTGCAATTTCTCATATTTATTTTGTTTAAGGACATATAATCCTTTACATATATTTCATCCAATCACACAAATAACAAATATTTTTGATAAATTTTTGGGTCTGTATCACAAATTGTGTGGGTTAGGGGGGCTGTTGATCCCCCACCTCTCTTGTTTTGGGTGGTGCCCCCCCCCCTCACCGGGCACCGTACTGACTGTTCTTGCTCTTGTTGATTAGGGCTGGGGAATGTCCAAAAATCTAAAACAAAGGTTCTCTAAATATCTAAAAAATTTTAGAAAAAAATCAATTTATCTTACATGGATATTTTGTTTCATCATTGTTAGTTTATTCTTCTTCTTCTTCCTCTTCCTCTTCTTCCTCATCTTCCTCCTCCTCCTCCTCAGCGCCTGAAAAGATGAGGTTGAATTAGACGAAAAAATTTGGTTTCGGAGGTTTCAAGGTTCAGTGTAATGTGTCCAAAAAATCACGACCCGACGAGTTTTGTAGTTTTTTATAGGTGTGGAGAAAGATTGCCAAATATTTCCAAAAATTGTTAAAAATTGTTTAAATTGTCAAAAATTGTCAAAAATTGTCTAAAATTGTCAAACATTGTCAAAAATTGTCAAAAATTGTCAAAAATTGTCAAACATTGACAAAAATTGTAAAAAATTGTAAAAAACTGGCAATAGCATATAGTAGTGAGTAGTGACCAAATAAGAACGAAACAAATTTTGAGATAATATGGCAATTTTAACAACCGTTTTTAAAGTGGTGAAAATAAAAAAATGAAAAATAAATGCAATAAATATAATAAATTTATCTTAAAAACCGAAATTAAACTGAAATGGCTAAATAGCGCGAAGGTGTTGTTTTTTTATAAAAATTTAAATAACTTAATTAAAACCTAAACATTTTATCTCCTTCGTTCTAATTTTGACTTCAATCTCAATTCATTTGAAAAAAATCTCGTTTTACTGTCTTTGATATTTCTTATTGTTTAACCTATCCTAATTTTTTTCTCATTACTAAAACTAATAAGTATATTTTATTCCATTTATTTTCTTTTATGTTTTTAAGAAGATATTATTGGAAAATATTATAAAGAGAAACCAAAACTTTATCATTTTAAATTCTTTAGAGCTTTAGAAACAATTAACCGAAATTTTCAAGAATATTTCTTTTGTGCTCTAGTTCGAGTTTTCAGTCATAAAAATATTTTCTTCATAATTTTTAAAATTACATTAAAATTGAGCATAAATAAGGTAGAGTTGAACACAGAGTTTGAAAAAGATTGAGTAGAGCACAGAGTATCAAAAAGGTAGAGTTCAACATTGAGTATCAAAGATTGCGTCGAACATAGAGTATTAAAAAGGTAGAGGTGAACGAAGAGTATGAATAAGGTAGAGTTGAACATAGTGTTTGAATAAGGTAGAGATGAACACAGAGTATGAATAAGGTAGAGTAGAACATATAGTATGAAAAAGGTAGAGTTGAAAATATGGTATGAATCAGGTAGAGTTGAACATAGAGTATGAAAAAGCTAGAGTTGAATGAAGAATATACAAATAAGGTAGAGTTGATCGAAGAGTATGAATAAGGCAGAGTTGACATATAGTATGAAAAAGGTAGAGTTAACCATAGGATGAATAAAGAGTATTTTGAACAAAGAATATGAAAAAGCTAGAGTTGAATGAAGAATATATATAAATAAGGTAGAGTTGAATATAGAGTATGAATAAGGTAGAGTTAAACATAGAGTATGAAAAAGCTAGAGTAGAACACAGAGTATAAAAAGGTAGAGTTCAACATTAAGTATTAAAGATAGAGACTACCATAGAGTATGAAAAAGGTAGAGTAGAACATATAGTATGAAAAAGGTAGAGTTGAAAATATGGTATGAATTAGGTAGAGTTGAACATAGAGTATGAAAAAGCTAGAGTTGAATGAAGAATATATAAATAAGGTAGAATTGAACGCAGAGTAAGAATAAGGCAGAGTTGAACATATAGTATGAAAAAGGTAGAGTTAACCATAGAGTATGAAAAAGGTAGAGGTGAACGAAGAGTATGAATAAGGTAGAGATGAAAAAGTTAGAGTTGACCTTAGAGTATGAAAAAGATAAAGTTGAACATATGGTATGAAAAAGTTAGAGTTTACCTGGGGGTACTTCAGCTGGTCCTTCATCTTCATCATCAGGGGACTCGGGGTCTCCAGGCTTCTTACCAGGACGCTCTCCGAACCATTTAGGAAGCTTGGCTAAACATTTAGGAAGGTCAGCTAGACATTTGGAAAGGTCAATTAGACATTTAGAAAGATAAGTTAGAAATTTAGTAGGATTAGCTAGACATTTAAGAAGGTCAGTTAGACATTAAGAAGGATTATCTAGACATTCAGGAAGGTCAGCAAAACATTTAGGAAGGCTAGCTAAACATTTAGGAAGGGCAGTTAGACATTTAGAAGGTTATCTAAACATTTTGGAAGCTTGTATAAATTCTTCTGAAGGTCAGTTAGAAATCTAGGAGGGTTAGTTAGACATTTAGGAGGATTAGCTAAACATTTAGGAAGCTAGGCTTAATGTTTACTGAGGTTGGCTAAACATTTAGCAAGTTAGACATTTAGATGGATTAACTAGACATCAAGGAGGATTAACTAGACATTTAGTCAGCTTGGCTAGACATTTAGGAAGGTCAAATTGACATTTAGGAGGATTAACTAGACATTAAGGAGGATTATCTAGACATTTAGTGAGCTTGGCTAGACATTAGGAGGAATATCTAGACATTTAGTAAGCTTGGACAGACATTTGGGAAGGTCAGTTAGACATTTAGGAGTATTAGTTAGACATTTAGGAGGATAAGCTATTTATTTAGGAGGATTACATTATGAAATATTAACGTTATACGAATGCGTCGAAAGATAATCAATGAGTTGCAATATCTGAATTAATTGTGTGAAGGTAAATTGATTTTTTACGATCCGAGTCCTATATTGCAATTTTCTAAATTTGTATGGACGTTTTAGACGCAACAGATAGAAAGAAGTAAGATTAGAAGCGACCAAAAGCGATTATTTTTCGCCGTAAGCCTATAACACCCTTTTTCATTTTTCGCGAACGCTCCCTTTAAAAGCTTTATATTTGTTCCTTTAAAATGAAATTCCAAAAAATATGAAAATGAATTAACTGTAGAGAGTATTTACCGTTATTTAGATTAAAATTTTAAAGTTTTGATTCTTCTTTATTTTAAGTAGTTAAAAATAATTTTGTTAAGATTAGCGAGATAATTATATCTCAAAGTAATCTTCTCCAGTGAAGCAAGCAATTTCATCTGTTTAAACAAAATCCTTAAAATTAAACAAAAAAATAAAATAAGAGCGTATTTCCAGATTTAAGATGCGCCAGCAAATTGAGGAAAAGTGATATTAAGAAAAGCTAAGTTGATGTTTATCACCTACTTTCGTTTTTTGAACATTATAGATAAGTTTTGATCTATTTGTACAAAACTAAAACCTCGTGAAAGCAAATTCTTTTGCAAATTTAAAGTTTTATAAGTCCTTAGATGCGTAACGGATTTTCTTCTTGATTGATTTACAGTTTCAATCAGTTTTAATTATACTTACTCATCATAACACCGGAATTATATCGACGTATAATTGAACTACTTTTTTTACATGTAGCTAGAATTCAAACTAGTAATTAAGTAGTACAACTAGACGTACTTCAGCTACATATCGCTATTCAACTTTTTGGCAAGGAGGAAAAAGATAAAAACTTCTAAATTCTAAAAACTAAATTTAAAAAACTGGAACAGCTAGCAGCTTGCTACTGTAAAATTATGCGGTACATCAGCTACTTTTCAGTACAGTAAAATTTTGCAGTACAGTACAATTTTGCAGTACAATGTGTTTACGATAACCCCATCTGTCCTGGGTGGGGGGTTACCTTTGTTATTTTTCTTTCCCCAATCCTCAAACTTCTCCTTCCAATCCTTCTCAAGGATTTCGCAGTAAAGGATCTCCCAACCCTACACACATCCAGGGTTCAGACAGTACACACATCCAAGGTTTATAGAGTACAGACTACAGAGCTCGAAATTTAAAAGAGTATCGTTGAAAGAAACTCCCAAGTTCCCTTTTTGGGGTTTTAACATTTGTGGAGATTTTGAAATTCGAAAAAAATGGAGAATATGAAGAAACTAAATAAAGTATTATTTTATAAACAAATATTGGTATCCACAAAACTGCATGACTATTCCCAAGGAGAATTGAATAGAAGAAGGGGGCGATAGGGTTTCAGTACACTTTGCTGTGACGTTTTTGGACTGCTGAAGACATCTGGCGCATCTCTGGCGTTAGAGATATTTTTGCGTAACCACAATAACAAAGGCAGCCGATCTAATGTAAACAAACATGAGTTAGTATACGGTGAATCTTCATGCGCCAGATGTCTGTTTATCATTTGTGTTATTGTTTACAATCTTTATTATTGTTGTTACGCAAAAACTAGTTCTTCAGCAGTCCAAAAACGTCACAGCTAAGTGTACGGAAACCCTATCGCCCCCTCCTTCTATTCAATTCTCCTTGGCTATTCCCATCCATAAAACCCGGGTTCTAAAACTGGTTTTCATAAATTTTTAAATTCTTTTAAGTATTTGTAGTAAAATAATATTTTAGGAACTAATATAGGTTTTTTTTCTTCATTTTGCCGTACAGTACAGTTTCCTGATACAACACTCATGTTATGATGTTAGTAAACAAACTACAACAAACTACAAGATGTAATAAAAAGTAAGATAATTAAAGTACAAATATGATGCAAATCGAGTAATAAGATTACCCACAAAGGATGAGACAGTGAAGACGACTGGGAACTCTAAAAATATGACGATCCTAAGGTCTTCTGCTTTGAATTTAGTCTTTTAATTGCTTATTCCATGACTTGGAAAAGAAAGAAACTAAAAATTACAGTTTCAGGCCGAATTAAAAATATGATGTGACATTTAATTCTGAAGAGTAGTTTCTGAAGTGGGTAACCCTGTATGCATAAAATGTTAATATTTTTCACATGAATAGACAACTGAAGAGTATATAAAGAAAACCTTTCTTAATCTAAGTGCAGTCCCATGTATATTGTATACTGTATACTGTAAATTGTATATTGTATACTGTATATTGTATATTGTATACTGATGTTTTTACATGTTCATTACGTTCTTCAATTTCGTGGCAATAATATATCATTAAGAGAACTGAGATAAGAAACTGTTTTAAAAATTCAAAATATTCTTTAATATTCTTTTTCTGAAATGTAAGTTAATCTTTATATAATATAGCTCTTCGCTCATATATTTCTATAAATATATAATATACATACACTTTTGTTAGCTATAGCTGGCCAAACGGCTGGGCCAAATTGGCTGAATTATATGAACTTATGTTCCCAAAAGGTTATATAGCACAAATATTTGAAGTACACCTGCAGTATGGAAACAGTACAACAAAATGGCCGTTTTACACTTTTTTTTTAGTAAATTCCACTCTAATATATATCCATTCTCTTTGACTATATAACACCTTGTCTTGGTGTAAGTTCACGACTAAAATCTAAAGAAATAAAAACCATTTTTCTAAAATTCAAATATTTTTTGTTACGCTAGACTATGTCTGGAACACCCCTCACCCTTGGGTCGTTTTCCCCATTCGTCCATTTTTTCTTTCCAGGATTTCTCAAGAAGCTCAGCGTACAACACGTCCCAACCCTTTGATATTTTACATGCAATTTTACATATATACATGCTGTACAGTGTACATATTTAAACGTACATACATATGGGCTAGTTTAAAACTAGAAAATTCTAATTTAATCATTGAAAATTCATAGTTTTTCAGATATGAAAGAAAGGTTTTTTAATGATTAAGTCATTTCGCAAAGATTAATTTTACATCAATACTTTTATGCAATATTTTTTTTCATGAGTAATTGAAGTTTTAAGTTGTTGACTGCAAACTACAAATTGTACACTACAGTGGAATACAGTACAATTTTAAGTTGTTGACTACAAACTACAAATTGTACACTACAGTGCAGTACAGTGCAGTATAGTACAGTTTTAAGTTGTTGACTACAAACTACAAATTGTACACTACAGTGCAGTGCAGTGCAGAACAGTACAGCATAGTGTAGTACAGTACAGTTTTAAGTTGTTGACTACAAACTACAAACTATACACATACACTGCATTAAAATAACAACAACATAAAACACAGTGAATATTAGTAAAAAATAATCATGCAAAAAAATGATTTAATGTTTTCTAAACTAAAATAATGATTCATATACACTTGTTCAAATTGTTAAACAGATAAGTTACTCTTAAACTTTAATTTATATTTTAAGCAGTAAAGTTAAAATTTGTTTTTATGCTTTTTTTTCAAATTTCATTTTGTAATTTAAAATGAGTTTAGAACTTTTGTGTGGAGAGTATCGTTAATCTTACGCTTGATCTCGTTATGGGATATGTGGGAACTTTTAAATTTAAAGTTCTCTGCCTCAATTAAAGTTATGACCACCATGGGGAATTATATTAAGCTGTAGGTCTGCATAAATTAGAGATCGACGCTTGATCCTGATATTACCAATTCACAAAGGTTCAGATATCAGATTATTAATTAAAATTAATAGATCTTAAGTTTGGATTATTCTCTACATCAAACATCAAACTCACCCCGTCGAATAATCTTAGCTTATCGTCATAAGTTTTATTATCTGCCCGTCGTTCAAACTTCGACGCTGTTAGTATCTTCGGCTATTGAAAGGATAAAATAATACAAGTTAGCCACACTACTGCAGGTTGTCGTAAACCTCTACAGTTTTGAAAAAGCCAAGACCCTCAAAAAGAGAGATCACGCCTTAAAACAACTTTAATATTCAAATGGTTCTAATTTTATATGTATCCACATAAAATAGTACCAATTGAACCCGAGGCTGAATTTAAAGACTTTAAACCGCGACGTTGATCCGCCAAAAACCCGTTCCAAATGAGCGCCAGCTCAAATCTCGAAACACTGAATACAATTTCGAGGGGAACCAACCATGTTTGAACCGCGACTCAAATTAATTAAATTCGGCCTCCGAATTGTTTAATCGTCAATCTCTTCCTTTTAATTGGTTTCGAAGCTCTATTCCACGCAGATGAGTATAATAAAGGGGAAGAAAGTTCCAAACCATGCCATGTTTCAAACCTGGCACTCAGTGTCAGGTTTGGGCCAAATCACGGTTGGGAACTTTCTTCCCCTGTAATAACACTCTTGACTTTAACCATCATGCATACACGCGGAGATGAAAGGGATATTGATCACACTAAATCAACTGAAGTAAAACTATTTCAAAGGAACTAAATTAAATCACTCTGCAGGGGAAGGTTTTGAACTTACACCCTCATAGAGTTTACGTCTATCCTCATAGGTTCTTGTATCAGTTCTTCTTTCATATTTGGAGTACATTCTAATTTTAGGCTAAAACATTCATTATTTTTCAACACATTTACAATCAAAAGTGACGTTTTTTTGCGTTGGCTTAAGCTTCCCTATAACTTCATGTAACTCTTGTAATTGAACCTTATAACAATTTTAAACAGTAGGACTATACAACTGTAGAATTAGAAGACGATTTTTCAGTCCCTTTGTGTGTATTTAATGCTGTTATAATAAAACATTGATATATAGGTTGCGTATAGCTGGCCAAACGGCTAAACCGATTGGGCTGAAATTTTTTGTGGAAACTCATATGTGGCCGGTTTGTGTCTTCCTTTTCCACAGTTTAATGGGTCCTATCTTTGTTGTCTGTTTACACCAAATAATTTCTCCTTGGGATAATTTTAAAATCATGAATTAAAAATGAAACATTACAAATCGGATTGTTTTTGGTTTTTAATATAACCCCTTCCAGGAAACTATTATATAACTGATTATAATTATTTTGAATTAAAATAAGATGTGATTTTAAAAAAGAAAAATTTTATACTTACAGGATATTTTCCGGTGAGAGCCCTGAAAAATAATAAATATATATTTGCATGAAAATCGGCATAAACAGGGTTACCCAAAAAGGATAAGAATTTAATGACGACCTATAACTCTGAAAATTCTTTACAGTTGTCTCTAAAGTGTGATCCTGTGTGGATACCCCTGTATCACACTGTTAAAATTTCAAGAAAACAACTTTTACATCTTCCGCTAAATTTTAATAGTGTATCTATATACATCTATCAAAAACAGCTAAAAAACAATATACTTTTAAATTACAACAAATGAAACATTATCAAGATTTCTGAGATATTTGCTAAATGATTTATTTCTTAATTATTTAGGTTTTTTATTTTTCACCTTTTCACCCTATTTACGTTGTATTTCCTCTTTTTGTTTCATGTCATTTAAATATATTTATTTTTTTGGGGCAAATCATCAAAATTATTTTCAATGCAAAAAAATGTCGTAAAATGACAAAAATGACGATCTTTTTCACTGGATTATAAATACAAAATGCGCACATATAAATATGATCATTGTACTTTTTAAACACAAAAAATGTATTAATTAAAGAAACAAACATGCAAAAAAATATTAAAAACATGCAAATGACAGTGTTAGGGTATATGAAACTGCAAATACAGTGTACAGTAGATTCTGGAATAAAATGAATTATCAACCCTATCCCGATTGGGCTATTTTTGTATAATATAGATGTTGGGGGGGTGTTTTCCAACCCTCCGTCCCCTATGATTTTTCCCTTAGAGTTGAGATAGGGGAGTGTGATACATGTCCCTAGTCCAACTTTTCATGGCCAGCTCAATTAAGAAAAAGTAGACCTCTTACTTTAATGGCTATAAGGGTGCAATGGAGGATTTTTAAAAGTTAAAAAAAATTTTTTTCAAAAATAGTTATTTTTAATTTTAACAAATATTAACAAATGACACATGTTATTATATCCATTTTTCAAGGGCTTTTCAAATATATTTTAAAAATAGTTATTTTTACTTTTAACAAATATTAACAAATAACCCATGTCATTATATCCATTTTTCAAGGGCTTTTCAAATATATAATCGTGATAGGGTTAAATTAGAAGAAACAGAGATTAGAATAGAAACCAAAAAAAGTAAAGAATACTAGACATCAGAAAATTTACCGTGGTTGGCAAAAAAAAGCGTATTTTTTATATCTAATATTTCAATACTTTCGGAAAATCTGGCAGGTTTTGATCTGGGGCTTAATGCAAATCAGATTTTAATTTTTGTATTATTATACTATAAAGAGATAAATCATCTCCAAGGCATAGTCCGTGTTGCCAAGAGTCGATGGTGTAATCATTCGTTCCTCTTAAATTGTATTGTAAACTGTCTTGTACCCCTTCATCAAAAACTGCGATTTTCCCTTTTAGTTTAGAACTTACTCCGCGTGTAAACCCATCCTGACAGCTTTCAACCGAAGTCGTTGTGTCTGTCTCTCAGAGAGTTCTTTCAACTGAAATGTGTAAGGTTGGACCTCAAGAGGTTTTAGTTTTTTTTTTTTAAATGCCGCAATCGAATTTCCGTCGTCGGTGTTATCAAATTAATCTATGGTTTCAAAGTAAACCCGGCAGACTCATTTCAATTTTGTAATTTCGATCAAAACATAAAAATTTAAAAATGAATTTTGAATACAAACTGTATTCACATTTTCTTAGGGCTTAAATAGTTATACTACGTGATGATGTGCTAAAAAGTGTTTAGCTTTGCACTCCAAAAAGGGGTTTGTGCATTGCAAAAAAGGAAGATACACATGTGCACAAAGTGTATTCATAAAAAAATGTTCACTCGTTATAAAAGTATATGGAATCAAAAAGGGTAATTAAGCATCTCAGATGGTTTTAAAAAATATTTAATTGTATTTATTTTTCTTTTTTGGAACAAAATGAGATGCGTAGGATTACACGAGGATTATGGTTAGAGGGTGGTATTGTCAGGTTTAAAGGATTTCTTACTCAGGATCTAATCCTTTTTTCATCGCTTTCTGTCTTAACTGCTGCTTTTGTCTCTCTTTTAATTCTTTAAGCTAAAAATAAGATTTTATTTTCCCACTTTTAGACAAAAACACTCCTCAACTATTCCGCCATTATTGTAAGTTTTTTTCTTCTAAAAAACATAATTATTTCTAATCCATGTTTCCATATAATTTTGTGTTATTTTTATATCTATCTATCTATCTATCTATCGGAGTGCTTCATTGTAATTATTAAAAAAAGAACCATCTATTCTAGGTCTATCGAAAAAAAAACTATTCTAATTTTTAAAAAAAACTTTGCCTCCGATAATTTTGAAGTTTTATAAATTCGTTAAAAAAATGAAAGTTGGTTTGGACTAAAAAGATTACTTTAACTCTGCACTTGACAGGAAATGAATTGGTTTTAATCAAGTTAAAAAAAACTAAATGAAGAAAGAAGAAAAAAATCTTTCTAATATTTCTATTAGGGTGTTTCAATATTGTCTTGTATATGTTTGAACAACCCTAGCTTTGTTTGAGCTAGACAGGGAATTGGCACTGTTTGCCTTATCATGTGACTTTTTTGGCTATTATAGTCCTGTTAAAAACATGGTCCAAATTCACATGATAAGGCGAGCCAACTCAATTCCTTCTCTTTCAAGAGACTGCCAAGGCAATTTCAAGTGACTTTTCATGTAAAAAAAGACGTGCCCGATTCACTACAGTACCCTTTAAACTTTTATCTGAGTAACATTGAGAAAGATATCGTTGTTTTCATATCGTTAAAAGATTTATTAATTTTCTTTATTATTTCTGCCACATTTAATTTATATGTACCTTTTATAGATAACAGTAATTGAAGCTTGTCAATGTGTAACCTGAGCCCCATGTATAATGTAAATAAAAACGTAAGGATATCTCCACCATATTTTCTTAAATGTGTAGCGGTAACCTATGTGAATCGATGTTAGGTACTTTCCCTAAAGTATTTTTCTGAAGGGCAACTTCCCAAGTGACAATACCCAAGTGGTAACTTCCCAAGTGTGAAATTTCCCAAGCGGTAACTTCCCCAAGGTTAGGTTAGGTCTTCTGAGGCGCTGCAGGCTGCAATGGGGCCCAAGATGGGCTAGGGGGCCCAGCGTTGCGACTAGAACAGGCTGGGGGCCGAGCGCTGCGGCTAGGACAGACTTGGGAAGTTGTCGCTTGGCAAATTGCATATTTGGGAAGTTACCACTTGGGAAAATACCCTTGGGAAGTTGCCTCATGGGAACAGGCCTTCGAGAAAGTACCTAACATCTGTGAAGCGAACATGAAACTAATGGTTACTTGAAATAACCTTAACAGTCCCTTTGATCGGCCTAACCTACGACTTACTCTGGGTCTAAACCAAGCTTAATTGCCTTCTGCTTGTTTTGCTGTCTCTGCCTTTCTTTTAACTCTTTCAGCTGAATTTTTACAATTTTCAATTAAACTAAATTTTTTCTCAATTTATAAATTTTGAATATATTCCAACGTAAATAAATTTAACAATATAGGAAAATGCATTGCCGCAATTCAGTGCATTATTTGATGCATTTTATGCATAAAGTATTGCAAAGATGAAAAAATGTTCTCCATCGACAGCTTTTCAAAAAAAAAATGTTGTTTAGATTTAAAAAAAAATTCTGAAAAGGTAAACTTTTAAATAATAATACACTAGGGCTGGAAGCGTTCAACTTTTTTCTTTAATATATGATAATAAAAAAACAGCGAAATAATTGTCTTTCTGGCTCTTTTTTAAAATTAGAAATAGCGTTGACAATTTTGTTACTTTTGGCTGTTGTAATATCTCTGAAAGTATGCCTTGGGCATTTTTTAGATAACATTACGGGATATTTCTTTTTTAAGAAAGGTCGAAGACAACAAGCATTACACTTTTGTTGGAGATCCCTGTATCCCTGTATCTCTGTATTTTTGTGTTTGCACATCGTCTATTGTTAAGTTAAAATTTGTTCAATTAAATCATAAAAAAAAATATAATCCCGATAGCTTTGTTTCCTGGGGGTGCAAACCTGGATATTTCAAAATCATAGTTCAAAATATAAAGGGCATAATTGACATCCGGTTGCAAAAATATTCAGATTATAAAATCAGAGTTTGAGTCGAGTAATCGGTTCCTTCGGTCGGATATATTAATATGAACAATGCCAAATGATAAATATTATCCTGTTGAGGATGAAATTCCCGAAAGATGAGTATAAAATTTTAGAATGAAGACCCCCCCCCCCTGCTACTTACATCGTAGTCCTGTCGTCTTTGTCTCTCCTCTAGATCGTATTTCTCTGTCTCGAGTCTAATAATTAACTCCCAGAGCTCGCTAGCCTTCTGCTTTAAGAAGTCAGAGTCCATTCCTGAAAAAAATTTATATCTAAGGGATCACTGGAGAGCTTTGTGAAAACAATTCTATAAGCAATCAGAGCTCTCCTGTTGCAGTAGTTTTATATAACAATGTTTTGTTAATAACTATTACAATTTATTATAATGCAGAAAAACCATATGATATGATTTAATTTGATATCAAGGGCATTAAACATTAGATTGCGCATAAGACGACATTTTTCATTTTGAAAGATATAAATGTACAAAGATGTTTTAAAGATATTCCTATTATATAGATTAACTAGGTCGGTTGTGAACATTGGTTGTTTTTATGTCATTAAGTACTTGTGGTGTACAGGAGTTCTGTAGAGAAAAATTTAAGTTAGTTTAGTCCTTCTCATGTCCTTCTTCAGTTATAAAGTCAATATTATATGTTAAATAAAATATTGTTGTTCAAATAGTTTCATTCCCGGAGTTATTTTACACTCTATTATGAAATCCATTAAAACATCAAACCACCCCGCTTATCATTGAAGTACACTTTGACCCTTAGAAGTATGACTTCGCGGACTGTACAATTCTTGGTGATTTTACGTACATAAGCTATCTATGTTTATTTATTTATCTATGGCATTAAAGGGACTGTAGACATAATTCAAATAACCCTTAATTTGAAGAGTGACATGTCAGACTCCCAACCAAATATTTAAACCTTAATCAGATCAAAGGTAGCTGAGGAATATATCATTTTGTTCCTAACTAAAACAGTCTTAAATTTTGAAAAGTTTCTTCGATGTTTCTGTAGAAAAAATACGCAAGTCAATTTTAAAAAGAAATCACCCCCCCCCCCGCCACCAAGCCCTCCTGCTATTTAAAGTAAAAATCTTACCATCAAGCTCTAATGGTTTGATTCTAATACTGAGAGATATTTTCTTCTCTTCCTCCAACTGTTCTTTGGTTTTAGTCATCTCTCGCCGAGCATCTTGCACATTTGACATCTAAATATAGGTACAATCAAAATAAATATAAATGGGTATTTTCTCAGAAAAAAAAAAAAATTCAATAGCAACTCTCAAACTATCAAATATTTTCCTTCATGACAAAATTAATTTTTTTGCCCCAAACTCAAATTTTCTAATGCCTATATATATTGATCTAACAAAATATATAAATTGAAATATCAAACTATAACGATACTAGGTTGCGAAGACATAGGGACTAGAAAATCAAAGTTTGTGGCAGTTTATTTGTCTTGTTTTTCTGCATCCAATATGAGTCATAAAGGCTTAAAATTCCGATCGGGCACTATTTTTTGTGGCAACTCGACCCAAGAAATCTATATAATAAAGCTTTTTGCTAATATATATATATATATTTTTTATATATACGTTATCTTTAGCTGGCCAAATGGCTGGACCAAATTGGCTAAATTTTTATGAGGGAACCCATTGGGTACCCTGGGGGTAATATAGGCTAAAAAAATCGAAATTTTTATTTCAACAATAGAATTTTTTTTTGTTTTTTTTTTTTTTTTTTTAACTCCACAGGCCACGCGAGCCACTTCAGCTTGTAGTTTATAAACGGATTGATTTTTTTAGAATTTATAAATCTATCAATGATTACAGAAAAATGCGCAAAATCTTAAGTTTTACAATTACGACGAAAAAATTTGCAACTTAAATAGCAACACTTAAATGCTTAAATTGTTGCGAAGCGCCCTAAAAGTCTTGTCATGAATATTTTTTTATAAAAGAAAAAGCCATTGATTTTCTAAACTTTAGGTTAAGAATTGAATTTTCAAATTTCCTGGTGAATCCCAGTAAACAGTTCTTTGTAAAAGATAATATTGATTGTAAATCAATTTTAGGGTTTCATATCAATATATATATATATATATATATATACTACACTGTTACATAGATTGATGATTCTATGTAAAAATTGCATATTAATTCAGGTTTGAAAAGTTGGTCGACTTTGAGTTGTTGCAACGCCTTGCCCTTTGAATTAAACTCACTATAACACTAATTTATATCTTTGCAACCTTTCATATTTAAAATTTGAATATTAGATTCAATCGAATTTTAAGTTTGTCACTGCAAAGGAGGACGACATCAAGTTGCAAAGAGAGTAACGAAAATTACCGTTCGGGGAAAATTTTGAATTTAGAAAGTTTAAATTGATGACTTACCCCTCCGTCGGTTTTCTTTTGACCTCCTTTCCCTGGTCCTCCAGCCTGCTGTTTCTCCTTCTGTGCCTGCATCATTGCCTGTCTCTTCTTCTCGGCCTCCTCCAGCCTCTTCCTCTTCTCTTCAGCCTCCTGCACCAACACAAAAGCATCTTCAAAATTGTAATTTAAAGTAACATTCTGATTCACAAATTCACAATGATACTATATTTATTATATACCTTAATCTGATCAATAACGTGAAAGATATTTTCGTTTTTCAATCTGGAAATGTATTTAAATGTAACAATTTCATGCATGGTTTTTTTAAGGCAGAAATCCGCAAGAGAAATTATGAAAATAATCAATTTTCATAATTTCTGTAAAATCGACTCCTTCAATCGTTTTCCACAACTTAATGAGTCCCACTGTATTTAAAATTTACAATGCTTTAGAATGATAAGTCAGAAAAATTTGTCATTTAAGTTTTATAATTTTTATTGTTTATGCTTTTTGGTTTCCTTTGCTTTCTTCTCTGCTTCTTCCTTCCTCAATCTTTCTTCTTCTTCCTTCTTCTGTTGAGCCAACTTCTTCTCCTGTTCTGCTCTGATCTCCTTCCTCTTGGCCTGCTTTTCCTTTAACCTCTTTAGCTCCTCCTCCTCCTTGGCTCGTTGTTTCCTCCATTCGTTGATGTACTCCCTCAGCTGTTCGTCCAGCTCACCCTTCTTAGCCTCCTGGCGGGCCTTCAAGAAGTTTCCATCTCCCCTGCACAGTCCCTTAGGTTAGCAAGACTGACATAGTCCCTTGGGTTAGCAAGACTGACAAAGTCTCTTAGGTTAGCAAGACTGACAAAGTCCCTTTGGTTAGCAAGACGGGCACAGTCCCTTAGGTTAGCAAGACAGACATAGTCCCTTCGGTTAGCAAGACAGACACAGTCCCTATGGTTAGCAAGACGGGCACAGTCCCTTAGGTTAGCAAGACGGGCACAGTCCCTTAGGTTAGCAAGACAGACACAGTCCCTTAGGTTAGCAAGACGGACACAGTCTCTTAGGTTAGCAAGACAGATACAGTCCCTTAGGTTAGCAAGACTGACAAAGTCCCTTAGGTTATCAAGACGGACACAGTCCCTTAGGTTATCAAGACTGACAAAGTCCCTTAGGTTAGCAAGACTGACAAAGTCCCTTGGGATAGTAAGACTGAAAAAGTCCCTTAGGTTAGCAAGACTGACAAAGTCTCTTTGATCAAATGGACGGAAACAATCTCTTAGGTTATCAAAATCAAGCCAGTACCTTTATAGGTTAGTAAGACGGGCACAGTCCTACATTTTACAATAACGAAAAATGTTGTGAAAATGTAATAAAGTCGTGATTTTCAAAATTTAGAGAATTGATAGAACTCATAAGTCATCTAGTGTATAAAACATTAAAGACAATGACCAAATAAAATCCAAATAAAGAAAGACAATAAGGAAAATGTTATGTCATACTATTCAATCCCCCCCTTCCTCCTTCAGCCCCCTTTTTTCAAACGAAGAATTTAATTTTTCTAGAAAAAAAGTACTTACTCTGACATCGCAGACCGAACCGACTTTCTCCTAATAAGGGGACAAATATTGACAAAATTCCTACCCCAACCAAACCCAAGCCCTGTAGGATATATCAAAGGACATTAAAAAAAAGAAAAAAAAGGGAAAAAGGGGAAAAAATAAAGGAAAAAGATACTTACTTCTTAGAGGTACTGCAAACCAGAACAGGAAATGAAAAAATAAAAAATTAATGAAAATAAAAAAAATATAAAAATAAAATAAGATAAAAAATAAAACAATACTTTTTGACATTTTTCATTACGTACAAAATATAAATAAAACAGAAAAAAAAAAAAAAATAGAACGTTCATTTCAAAATATAATGTGTCCAAGTACACGTATGAGGAATGAATATTTTGTATGCTTGATACATGTTTTGTTTATTTTGAAAAGAAAGAAGCAAACATTAACTATTTTCTCTTCCGAGTTTGTGATAAATTAGAGAAAACTCGGAGTTTCTTTTTATAAAAGCTGAAAATTCACACTTGGTGAACTCCATTAAATCTCATTCATTCACCCCCCCCCCTCATACTCTCTTTTATATTATTCGCCCCCTCTCTTTTATATTATTGCCCTCCCCTCCCCTCACCTCCATATCTTTCATATTATTCCCACCCTCCTCTTTTTCATATCATTCCCCCCTCTCTCTTTCATAACATTCCCCCTCCCATTCCCGTCTTTATAATTCCCCCTGTACTCTCTTCTTTATAATTCCCTCACTTCTCTCTTCTTTATAATTCCCCCTCTACTCTCTTATTCTTAATTCCCCCTCTACTATCTTCTTTATAATTCCCCTTCTATACTCTTATTCATAATTCCCCCTCTACCCTCTTCTTTAAGATTCCCCCTCTACTCTCTTTATAATTCCCCCTCTACTCTCTTCTTTATAATTCCCCATATTCTTTATATTTCCCCTTATTACCCCCCACCCGGCCCCTCCCCGGTCTTTAGAAACCCCTTTTTTCCAGCTCCTGGTGAATCTTCTATTCCCCTCCCTCCCTCGTGCAGAATCTGAACTGTTTCTCAAAAGTTTAAATCCTCTACACAAGATCCAAACAGCAATTTGATTAACTCTAAGCTTTTCTAGATTCTTCTATAGAAATTGCTTTTTCAATGAAAACAAAATAAAAACAAAAAACTAAAACTAAAGAAAATAGAAAGACAAAACAAAACAAAAACTAAAAAGTTGTCCTTGATACCTGGAGGCTATAGGGGGTCGGAGGAATTTTGAAAATATTATTTTCTAAATAAATTAAAGAATATTTTGATAATTAAATTCTTTTGATTTTTGATTTTTCGAGAGTGGAATTTAGAAATCCAACTTACTCATCGGGATTTGTTTTTTCCTCCTCCTCCTCCTCATATTCTTCTTCTTCTTCTTCTCCTTCTTCTACTTCTTCTACTTCTTCTTCACTAAACAGTACCGTTCCATAGGTACCTTTGTATAGCTAATACCGTTCCATAGGTACCTTTGTATAGCTAATACCGTTCCATTGGTACCTTTAAATAGCTAGTACCGTTCCATAGGTACCTTTGTATAGATAGTACCGTTCCATAGGTACTTTTGTATAGGTAGTACAGTTGCAAAGGTACCTCTGTATAGTTAGTACCATTGCATTGGTACCTTTAAATAGCGAATACCGTTCCATAGGTACCTTTGTATAGCTAGTACCGTTGCATAGGTACTTTTGTATAGCTAGTACAGTTGCAATTGTACCTCTGTATAGTTAGTACCGTTGCATTGGTACTTTTGTATAGCTAGTACAGTTGCAAAGGTGCCTTTGTATAGCTAGTACCGTTGCATAGGTACCTTTGTATATAGCTAGTATGTAGCGTAGCTATAGAAACCCATTTGCATACAGTTATTTAATTTTGCACATGGTGTCACATTAAAAATTATTATTGAAGATAGTTTGTGAAGTATCTAAGACATGTTTAATGTTGACACCCTGTATGAAAGCTATCTATAGACATGTTTTATGTTGACACCCTGTATGTATTCTGTCTATACACTAAACACTACTAAAACTTAATTAAAAATAAAACAAAACAAGAAAATATACGCACTTGGAACTGTAGATGCCAGAACATGAAAATATTACGAAATTAATAATGATAAAAATTATTTCTTTTCTCAACTCTTGTCAATTAAAAGTTTTCTTACAGTTTCTTTTCCGTACATTGAAAACATTCCTGAGCTGAAAACTTTAGAATGGTGGATATCGAGATCAAATCTTTCTTAAATAATGTTTGTTCTCCTCTTGTCATTAATCTCAAGATTAATTAACCGATCGGGATTAAGGGTATCCAATTCTAAAGTTTACAGCTCAGGTCCCAAATTTCTGTCAGTAATCTTGAGTTTTATAATTCAATTTCTATACATAATTAATTTTGTACCAAGAAAACGTTTTTTAACACTACAGTGAGAAACAGAAAACAGAGACATTATTACGTTTTTGTTTTATTTCGGCTCGAATTTTGAAAAAGACTAGAATTTCATTGTTTTTTGTTCCCACCGTAAAAGTTTCAATTTTGTCGTCTTTGCTTTGCAACTAATGTCGTCTTTGATACTTACACTTCCTCCTCCTCGTAATATTCCTCGTCGGACATCTTGTTTTTAGCTTCCTTCGCCGGTCAGTCGGGATACGTGAGCTTAAATACAGATACAAGGTTATACACTTGGATACAGTCTGGATACATGAGCTTAATTACAGATACAGGGTTATACACTTGGATACAGTCTGGATACATGAGCTTAATTACAGATACAAGGTTACACACTTGGATACAGTCGGGATACATGAGCTTAATTACAGATACAAGGTTACACACTTGGATACAGTCGGGATACATAAGCGTAATTACAAATACAGGGTTATACACTTGGATACAGTCTGGATACATAAGCTTACTTACAGATACAAGGTTATACACTTGGATACAGTCTGGATTCATGAACTTAATTACAGATACAGGTTTATACACTTGGATACAGTCTGGATACATAAGCTTAATTACAGATACAGGGTTATGCACTTGGATACAGTCTGGATACATAATCTTAATTACAGATACAGGTTTATTCACTTGGATACAGTCTGGATACATAAGCTTAATTACAGATACAAGGTTATACACTTGGATACAGTCGGGATACATGAGCTTAATTACAGATACAGGTTTATACCCTTGGATATAGTCAGGTTACATGAGCTTAATTACAGATACAAGGTTATACACTTGAACACAGTCAGGATAAATAAGCTTAATTACAGATACAGGTTTATACACTTGGATATAGTCAGGATACATGAGCTTAATTACAAATACATGGTTATACACTTGGATACATCATGTTTAGAGACTGGGTTACTCACAAAGGGAAAATCAGCTTTCAAAGTCCTTTTGTATATCCACCCTTTTATAGCATAAAACAATAAAGTGTTGAATAATTGTCGTATTCGGCCTTTCTTTTATATTTTAGAGTTATAAAATCACAAATTGATGAATTAAAGTAAAACGTAAGACGACAATTAATATTCCTAATTAATATTTGGTCCCAGTGTACGAGCTGGAATAATAGAGAAGTTGGGCAACCCTCACTCTCAGAACTGTAAAGTGTTTATTCACCAAAATTGGTTAAATCAAAATTTTGAATTTCGTAAAGTACTTTTTACAAAATCATATTCAAGAAACTAGTCTTTTAGTGGTATTTAGAATTGTGTAAGTTTCAACATTACAAAAAAAGATTAATATGACTCTAACTCCTTCTATCATTAAGCCATGCTAAGAATCCCACCCCAATCCACTTGCATCCCACATTATGAAAATCCCAGCAAAAAGTTTGTTTTAAATATCTATATAATAAAGCTCTTCGTTCATATTTATATATTCATATATCTAAAAAAATATTTATATAGTTATCAATAGGTGGCCAAACGGCAAGAACAAATTGGCTAAATGTTATTGAGGGACTCCCGGGGGTAAAATAGTTAAAAAATGAATTTTAAGATGGAATTATTTTTCTCACATTTTTTTAATCCCACGGGTAAGGCCGGGCAGTTGAGCTGGTAAGGCATAGATCGCAAAAATCAAGAATTAAAGCACATCCAAAATGGAAAAGTTATTAAGTTACTGAAATTTTAGAAAATTATGGAATTTTTTTTTCATAGAAATAGCAGTTTTATAAAATAAAACAATTTTCATTGTACAGATTTAAAATAGAATAAAAAATACACAAAGATATTTTAACTTATCCAATTTCCTAAAATAAACTAGAAGTTTAATTTGTTTATACATCATTTGTTTATGCATGGTGTAAACAAGTAAAAGCATGCATTAAAGCACTTACTGGCTTAGCGTGTGTTGCTCGCTGAATCCCCCAAGCCACTGATTCTCTATAGGCAAGTCCTCTCATATCCTAAATATAGCTTGCCAGGACCTTAAGCCCAGGATATCCAGTCAGAATGCAATCATTATTTTTCAGAATAAATATTAAATTGTAGAAAAAGGTATTCAAAAGAAAAAAACAGAAAAAAAGGAAAACAAATGATTATTCTGTACATACAACAATTCTGTTCATTGTTCTAAAGTTATTAAATTAATTTCACGGATTTCTAATAATGGGAAAATGCGCAAGATAAATCTGACTTTATTAGGTCATTTAAATTGTACACGTACAGTACGGTCACGGTGTACAACCTGTGGAGAAAATATATAAATTGCAACTTCCCTACCTGGAACTTGCTGAGCTAGCAGAAAAGTCCCCTTGGCCTGGAGTCTAAGCAGTTAGGCAGCTAGGCAGCTAGGCAGTTAGGCAGCTCGCCTGCCCAGCTAGGAATATGGCATAGTGCCAAGTAAGGACAGGAGGGAGAAATGTCAGAGAAGGCTCTTTACAATACATTTTATATGTCTTGGAACTGGGTTATCTTTAATAAAGATCGGACAGTAAAGAAAAGAAAGTTTTTAAACAATGAAAAATAAAACCATATAAATTCATTTTTAAAAAGATTTGAAGAATATATTAAATATGTATATATATATCCTAAATTTTTACCATGTATTTTAAGCAAATATTTGTTATTTAATAAAATATATTGTTCTAAATTTATTATACTACGCGTTTTTTATGAACCTGGTTTTGTATTTTTGTTTTTAAATGTTGAGTTCGTAAAAGTAGACAAAAAAGTCAAACATAAGAAAATAAATGCACAAAAGAAATTGCTTTGTTGATATTGATTTATTTTTAAATTCATGAATATCCTCATGAGTATTGAATAACATCCAGGGATACCCACAAAGGATGAGACTGTAAAGACGACCTGAAGCAAAGACTAAAGGGGTCGCAGATTAAATAATATTAAAAATTGTGTAAGAAAGATAAACTCATGGGCGCCATAAAACGTTGATATAATTTAAATTTAAAATAAAAAATAAAAATTAAATATATTTATTGTAAATACTGAATACATGCATTCAAAGCTCGTTTTCAGAGGAGTTGAGTTTTTGCCACATAATTATTTTTCTTAATCCCTCTGTTCAACCTGTTGGCTTAAACTTTTCATATTTCAAACTTAGACTATTTGATCTAAAATAATTCATAGTTTGAAATATCTATGGTCTGCGAAATGAAGGGTTGTATAGATAAAAAAAGAAAATCAGAGTTTGTGGCAAAGACTCAATCTATAAATCTGTAGTCTATACGCGTAATTTAATGTGAACATTCTTGTCAAGATGGTAAAACCCGATTCATAACCGTACTCTATGTTTAATTTTAAAAACTGATTATTTTGAATTAATTGTGGTTTCTCTACAAAAGTAACTTGCGCATTTCTACTGCATATAGACATTTCAAATTATCTAAATTATTGATCTAGAGGGTACCGTTGTGAATCAGTCATTGCCATTTTGCATGGAGGATCCCTCGAAATTATGCATACAGTCTCTTTACATACTTATGTTCATATCTGAGCATTACTGCGACTAATTGATTCTATAGCCTTCAAAAGTAAAGAAATTCAAGAATTCTTGACGACATCGAATTGATTTTTGAAATACTTTTTTTGCAAATGAACAAAAAGATTTTTAAAATCTATATTTCTAGCAAAAGGACTGTTAGATAGAATTAAAAAATAAAAAGATCAAAGTTCTATTTGAAAAAAAAAAGATTTTAAAAAATGTTTACAATTTTCATTCACAATAATCGAGAGTTCCCTATGTTTGACATTTCAATGTATACCCCCTCCCTACTCTCTCCTGAACCCCTCGGCATTTATGTTGGCTTGGATTTCAGCCAAATTTTTCTTTTGCATGAATCATTTAATGTTTACTCTTTCTATTAAACATGAAACATATACAGCTTATGCGCGTTATAATCATTGAAACTTTTAGTAAATTGTCCTAGGGTGCCCACTGTTCAAACGGGACGACCAGAAACCTGTTTAAGGTTTCTAAGCAAAAAAATGTTGCAATAGCAATTTTTTTTCATTCAACAGATATTTGTTTAAAAGCAGCGCCTAACCTGCTGCAAGAAGGTTTTTAACCTGTTTAAATCTTGTTGACAAAAGGAAAAAGATTAAAGTCCAAACAGGTACAAGGTGAACCAAAAGGAAAAAGATTAAAGTCCAAACAGGTACAAGGTGAACCAAAAGGAAAAAGATTAAAGTTAAAACAAGGAAACCGGTAATACACAAATGTCCCGCAAGTTTTGAACTCTAAAACTATTTTATACTACTTTTTACTATTTACAAACTGTAATCAACCCTAAAGGATATCTATTGCCGCTATAAAAAATTACTTTCACTTATAAAATATCTTGAAGTAGATTTTTATAATAAAAACCAAAATAAAACCCATAAAACTGTGATACATTAAGATGACTGTTAGACTCAATTTATGATTTTAAATAGACTTATGCATGAAACTTATTGGTTCTATGTACTGGTATAAGGTTAATTGAAATTATTAAAAAAATTTCTTACTTGAGATAATTTTTACATATTTCAAGCCCTTAACATTAATTGTCACAGAAATTGTAATTACGGATGACTAGCTGGAAAGTGTTTTTATTTAAAGATATATAGCCTGAAATTGATTTTTGCATATAATTTGTAGCTTGAAGATTTTTTATGATAAATCAGTTAAATTTGACTTTTATAGATAACTCGCTTGAAATTGATTTTTACAGAGAACAAGCTGGAAATTGATTTTTACAGAGACCTAGCTTGAAATTGATTTTTACAGAGAACTAGCTTGAAATTGATTTTTACAGAGAACAAGCTTGAATTTGTTTTTACAGAGAACAAGTTTGAATTTGTTTTTCACAGAGAACTAGCTTTTAATTAATTTTTACAGAGAACATAGCTTGAAATTGAGTTTTACAGATAACTAGCTTGAAATTGATTTTTACAGAGAACTAGCATTAAATGAAGTTTTACAGATAAATCGCTTTTAATTAATTTTTACAGAGAACTAGCTTGAAATTGAGTTTTACATAGAGAGCTAGCTTGAAATTGATTTTTACAGAGAACTAGCTTTTTATTGATTTTTACAGAGAACTAGCTTTCAATTGATTTTTACAGAGACCTAGCTTTTTATTTATTTTTACAGAGAACTAGCTTAAAATTGATTTTTACAGAGAACTAGCTTTCAATTGATTTTTACAGAGACCTAGCTTAAAATTGATTTTTACAGAGAAATCGCTTGAAAGTAATTTTTACAGAGAACTAGATTGATTTCCAAAGATAACTTTCTGGAATTTGATTTTTACACTAGCCATGTAGCTTAAAATTGAATTGTACAGCTAGGACTAGCTTGAAATTGACTTTTATATAAAACTTAATAAAAATCTATTTTAGCGATAACTAGCTTGAAATAGTATTTCTTAGATAACTCCCATAAAACCTTTTCTGTGACCGTATACTTCATTTATTGGGACATCGTTATTCTGTTAAAATAGTCCTTTCGTTCCAAAATCAAAATTGATCATAAAACCACTTTGAGTATGATTATACAAATAGATCATAATATAATCGTCATGCTAAATCTTTCGATCTGATTAACTATTTAATTAATAGAATTAAACTAAATTATTTCATCGTTTCGGAATATAATTAATGCATTTATAGTAGATCAAATTACATGATACCTAGATTCACAATTTACAACTTAACTCACTAAAACGTAGATTTTTTCAAAAATGACCAAAACTTTTTTTTAAAACTATTTTTTAATGATTGTGTTGTTTCAGAAACTTTTTATTGTTAAAGACAGGCTTGTGTTCGCTTGAAGAAAAAAATGATTTTCTTTTGTTTTTTTGCCCGAAACCCTGAAAGGAACTGTAAGCGTAAATTCAAGTGACCGTCCGTGCAAAGATGACGATGTCTGATTCACAACGGTACCCTTGAAACCATTATCTGATCAATAATGTAAAAGATATTGCGTTTTTCTAGGTTTAAAAGTTTTTAATTCTGACAATTCCTATATGTTTTCTTGAATTTAAAGAAATGCGTTTTCAAAATTTTTAACATTGATATATAATTCATATTTGATCTGACAAACCTTGTGAGTCGGTCATAGTAATCAAGGCATGGAAAGTCACTTTAAATTACGCTTACAGTCCACAGGGGGGCAGAGCCCCTCGCAATTTTTTCAAGAGGAATTAGCATTGAGAGCGGGTATTTTAAGTGTTTAAAATAGTAAATCACTCTTGAAATATGTAAAAATATTGCCATTTCAGTTAGAACTTTACTTTCAGGGAGAACCATTTCTGATTTTTGTAAAAATTGCATCAAACATTTCAAGTAGAATACAATTTTTCTTCTGTAAAATGATTTCTGAAAAATATCACAAAATGTCACACCCCTACTATCGGTTTGATGCCGCTCTAATGTTACAAAATAACTATTAAGTGTTTCATGCAATTCTGAAATCATTAATAAACTTAATTTTTAAATTAGGAAAGAATCATATTTAGTTACTTAAAAGCGTTGATTTAGCATCTGCTGGAAAACAGTTACAGTAAACTTTTAAGATAGTCTCTAGAAAAAGTGGGGTCAAAAAAGAGGGTCTTCGACCCCTTGACCCCCTTCCCTCTCTGAATCTGTGCATGCCAACAATCGCTTAAAATTTTCCACAATATGTTATTTTGGGGACGTGCCAATTTTCTTTAAAGATAAATAGTAAGATGTCAAGTAAATTTAAAGTTTTCCATTCCATAATTTTATAGGTATCACTTTTTAAAATTTTAAAGTAAAGATCTATGTATACACTTTTTTGTACATATTCTTATAAACGTATCCTTAAACTTAAAGTCTAAAGGGGCCGTAAGCTTAATTTCAAGTGACCCTCCATGCAAAGATGGCAAAGCCCGATTAACAACGGTACCCTTGAAAGCTTCGTATGATAAAGTATGAATTAGATATAAATTTTTATAATTTTAAACACTGGTTATTTTTAAATGTAGCCTGCAAAAGGGACTTGTGAATATCTATACTTTAAAACCTATCAGATAAAGTTTTGAGGGTATACCGTTGTCATTAGGGCATTGTCATCGCCGAATGGAGGGCCTTAAGTCCCTTTAAGGAGGAAGGGAGGGATGGAGTGAAGGGGGAGTGGGATGGGAGGGAGGGATTTGTTAAGGAGTGGGAAGGGAGGGACTGGAGGATGGATGCTAGGCTGTATAGAGGATGGGAGAGGCTGGGAGCCTTGTATCTGAGACAGTACCAAGTATACACACACACAAGAATAAACACATTTATCGAGTTATATTGCCAAACCAAATCTAGCCTTTTCTATCCAACCCCAACCCTCGCTAACCTGACTAACCTGTAATCATCCAACATAAATAAACGCTCATATTTGACTAATTAACAAAAGATACGTACCTCCTAAAGATACCTACCTCCTAACCCATCCAAAACTCAAAAAAAACTGTAAAACCCGTGAAACCTGTAAACCCTGAAAAACCTGTAAAACCTGTAAACCCGTAAATCCTGTAAAACCTGTAAAACCGTAAAACCTGTAAACCCTGAAAAACCTGTAAAACCTGTAAACCCTGTAAAACCTGTAAACCCGTGAAACCTGTAAACCCTGAAAAACCTGTAAAACCTGTAAACCCGTAAAACCTGTAAACCCGTAAAACCTGTAAAACATGTAAGTATAAACCCTGTAAACCACATAAACCCTGTAAAACCTGTAAACCCCTTAAAACCTTTAAAAACTGTAAAACCTGTAAAAGACTTTAACTCAGCAAGCAAACCCGATCTATTTAACCCAAACTCAACCTTACTAGACCAAACCCAACCTAACGAACCCAAACCCATCATAATTAGACCAAACCCAACCTAACTAGACCAAACCCAACCTAACGAACCCAAACCCGACCTAACTAACCCAAACCAAACCATACTAACCCAAACCCAACCTAACTAGACCAAACCCAACCTAACGAACCCAAACCCAACCTAACTAACCCAAACCGAACCATACTAACCCAAACTCAACCTAACTAGACCTAACCCAACCTAACTAACCCAAACCAAACCTAACTAACCCAAACCCAACCTTACTAACCCAAACCCAACCTAACTAAACCAAACCCAACCTTACTAACCCAAACCCAACCTACATAAACCAAACCGTACCTAACTAACCCATGAACCCAACCTTACTGGCACAACGTAACTAACCCAAACCCAACCTAACTAACACAAACCTAACTTACCTAACCCAAACCCAACATAACTAACCCAAACCCAACCTTACGAACCCAAACCCAACCTAACTAACTTGAACCTTACAAAACATAACCTTTCTTCTATCAATTAATCCTATCCATCTATAAATCTTATCTATTGATCAATCCTTTCTATTGATAAATTCTATTCACTGATCAATCCAACCCATTGATCAATCCAATCCAATAATCAATCCTATCCATCTATCAATCCTATCCATCAATCAATGATATCCACCAATCAATCCAGTCCATTGATCAATCCTATCTATTGATCATTCCTATCCATTGATCAAAGACCTGTTTTCAGATTTATCCTATATATTCATAAATCTTCCTCAATAACCAATCATATGTGTTTGATCAATTCTTTCTATCGATCAATCCTATCTATCAATCAATTCTATCCATTAATCAATCCAATCCATTGATCAACGATTTTTTTTCAGATTTATGAGGCTATAGTAGCAGAAATGTTTAGACTGAACCCATGGAGGTTGATTTTCTCTACCCTTTGACCTGACCTGACCTGACCTAAGCATGGTTTCTCGAACCCTCGTCTCCCTCCCTCTTCACCTTCCACCCCTACCCTTCATTCTCCTCCTTTTTCTCCCTACAAACCCAGGTAAAATAAAAAAACTAAAAATAAAAAAAACTTTGCCTTTATCAACGCCTTGGAACGCCTGATAAAGCTATACAAATCCCAGTCTAATTGATTGGAAATTTTTTCCATTAAAACATGTTCTAACTAATCAAAGTAGAATTTGTTCCTCATAGAATAAACACAGCTTCATTAATAGTATAGAAATTTAATGCTGTTGATGTACTTGGGGATGTTTTGATTGACTCAAAAAGACAAGAAAAAAGTTATCGACTAAAAAGTACAGAAGTCTATGACCTTAGAATACAGAAGTTAACGACCTAAAAGTACATATAGTTTACGACCATACTAAAGCTAACAACCTTAAAATACAGAAGATAACGACCTAGACAACACTAGAGATATAAAAAATAACGACCTAAAGTACAAAAGTTAATGACTTCAAAGTATACAAGTTTACGACCATTAAAGTACAAAAGCTAACAACCTTAAAATGCAGAAGTTAACGACCTAGACAACACTAGAGATACAAAAAATAACGACCTAAAAGTACAAAAGTTAATGACCTCAAAGTACACAAGTTAACGACCTAAAAGTACAGAAGTTAATGAACTCAAAGTACACTTACGTTTATTTTTTGAAAATTAAAAGAAAAGGAATCTAGTGTTTTTATGGCACGTGTGGAAAAATTCAAGCTTTTAGTAGAGTGTTGATCTTAATGTATTTCTTACAGATAAGTTGGTTTAATCTCATCGATTAGAACACTTTATTGCTCTGGGAGAAAGTCAGGGTTGTACACAGAGTAAACAGCTCATATTGCAATAGTGTTCACACTTAATAAGAAAGGGTGGATAGTTGACACAGATAGAGAGAGGGAGGAAGGGCATGGATACAGTTAGTCTGTTTGGATGTCCGATCATAACTCAGGAACCCCTTGACCGACTTGCCTTAAATTTTGATTGGGGAACTCTAAGTTTTATGGCTCGACTTGTAAATGAAAAATTCCAGGAATTGTGTTCCAAAGCTAGGAATTAATAAACTACATTTATTTTTTATTCAGAAGGCCAAATTTAACCTTCATTTCGCTTTATAACATTTTAAAAATGAAAACGGAAAAATCTGTTAAATCTTACCTCGTTACATTGTATTCTTATCTACAAGGGAACCCAACAATTCTGAAAACCGCTAATAAATTTGCGATTATTTTTGCAAAAATGTTCTTTTAAAATCCGCCAAAACCATGATAGAAAGATGTATAAAAAAAGAAGTAAATCTGAGAATATGATATTCAGTATAATTTCATCTACCATCATCTATTTATCTATTCAATTTTTGTTATTAAATTTATCATTTTTCAAGGGCTTTTCACCCCCCCCCCAAAAAAAAAATAAGTTGTTCATATTATTTAATATCTGCATGTACTGATGCAGTAGGGAATAATATTATTATAAATGAAGAAAATAAGAAATTATTATTCTTATAGAAAACAAATATATTTGTATGGAAGAGAGGTCACAAGGACGCTACAAACAAAAGATGTGGTTAAAAAAGAGGGTTTATTTGAGATAATTGCCCCCCCCCCCTTCCATACATATTTTTATTTTATACTAAAAAGATGAAGGGTAGTAAATCTTTATTCAATAAAGCTTATGCAAAGCCAAAAATCAGTAAAAAGTTTAAATCAAAGTTTATTTTGATGTAGCTCACTGTGATCTTGCCAGGCTGCAATTCTTGCATTAAACGTGGTGGGTCGACTCTACACTGGGTAACCTGACTTGACAGTGGACAGTACGACTGAATGCATGCATATACAGTACATGTTGTACCGGCACGGATCAAGCAAAGGTCAATGGTCTAGGAGGGGGGAGAGAAAGTTTCGATGAGTATTGCTCGAAATCCCCCCTCACCCTTAAAAATCCTTATTTACGCCCCTATGGGGTAGGGGGGGGGGAGGGGGCATTGTTTGAATTAACAAAATTCACAGTTTCATGATGGGAAAAAAATGTAAACCATATATTTAATATTGAAGTATTTTAGTTCTTTTTCTTAATATCAAAAGACCAAAAGCAAATCAAGATCCATGATTCCATGACGTTCGAAAACTCTAAAAAATTCTTTTCGAAAATAAAATAATAATCCCTGGAATGTTTTCTGAAAATTTCAATTCCTTGAAAAAGTTGATTTAATTTGATCCTACTCTCAATCCAGAACACAGCTAATCAAATTACCTTTTTTTTCTGGAGAAAATTGTAAAAGAAACATTCTTCAAATTAAAAATTCAAAAGGATAAGTTAGTGATAGCTTATAAAAAGTGATTAAGTCTTTTCCACAGACTCAGATTTTCTAATCCTTATATCTTTGCAACCCAATGTGGTACAGGTAGACCTTATTTATTTAAAACTATGAGTTCTGTAAGATCAAATAATCTAAGTTAATATATTAAAGGTATACACAATTAGATTGCAAAGATAGGAATCATATTGTAAAATGTGTAAAGTCCCCCAATTTTTACTGATTCAAAAATATATTTATTCCATGAAATATGTAAATAACTTAGTTTAAGATAAATCAATTTATAGTATTCAAATAAAATATTTTATCCTCTGAAAATGATAAACCATTGGTAAAATAAGAGTCAGACACATATAAATAAAAGAAAAAGTAGGAAAAGTCTTTATGATTGGGTAATACAATAGGGACCAGAGAGCTCAACCAACTCATTATAAGTTGAGGGCCTTGCATAATGCTAATTAGTAGACCTATTCATTACCAACAGGGTGCTCAAGTTTAGCGGACACAGTGTTCCGTCCTAATAGAACTCATCAGTATGGCTGAATTTTTATCAGTTTTTGATTTTTGCAGTTGACGGGGCTTGAACTATGCATAATTAAAACATGCATTGTGACTAGATAAACTACGTTTATATCTATACTATCTATATATGTACCTTCTACCTAAACTACGCTGTAAACATGTTTGGAGATAGCTTAATTACTTTATATCTATCCTCGCTAATCTTATAAATATGTATATTAAACCCATTCGTCATACCCATATTGTGATTGCTTAACTACATTATATAATACAGCGCATAACTTGTAATTACAATGTTAAAGACCCAATTCTAATCTGAACTGAAGAAATATACCTTAGTTGATACAGAAACTCCTTTTTGATTATAGTTTTGAGAGTTATTATGGTTTTTGCTGAAACATACAAATGAGATTGTGTTTTGTATAAGACATTGATCAATAGATTGCTATTGTCCGGTTGACATAACTAAGAGGATCGGGCCAGGTGTTAGTTGCGTTGATAGTTTAGGGATTGTAGCCATGTTGATTGTGTCCTGAGTCTAAAACTAAAGAACGAAAAGTTTTGACTTAAATGATTAAATGCCACTTCTGGCTTCATTTAAACCTGAACTTTAACCGTGAGGTTAAATATTTAACCCTCTGCTTAAATATTTAACTCGCCGAAATCGACGAGTTAAAATTTAAAAACAAGGTTAAAACCTAGAATCCCACAATCCCTATTTGTCTATCATCATTCAACTGAGTAAGTGGCATTCAACTTTTTACGATATACTCAAAAGTAAAACTTTGATTGAATAAATTTCACGTTTTAGATTAATTAATAATTTAATGTTTGCACTTAAACCCAAATTACGGTTGTAACTGGAAATATGTTAAATGTTTTGTTTTCCGTTACGTAAATGATTTAAAATTTAAAAAACAACTGATTACCGATAGTTACGTAATATTTCTCCGTAAATCCTTTTCTTTGATTGGTTCAGATTTTTTCCCGGGAAATTCAAATTTAAAATTGAGAAAGTTTAATATTTAATTAGCTACTCATTATTTTACAGAACATTTAACCTCGAACTTAAAATTCACGCATTCTTTAGTTTTAGACTCTGTTTAAGACATTGATAACCCTAATGGTAAGCATTAAGGCGCAAAATCACTTACATAGAGAAACGAAACCACAGTTGAAAGTTTGACAAATAAGGATATCTCATTCATTGATTAGAAAAGGAAAAGGGAAAGGGGGAATGCCACTCTATATAAATGAAGGGTCACTTAAAATTACGTCACCAGTCCAAGATCCTGCACATGGATCTTTCCAACCTTCATTTGTTGCATATAATTTGCTGGGTCGACTTTACACTAGGTAGTCTAGACTGGTCGGTACGACTGAATACAACGACAAAAGGCCGGTAAATCCGTGTACCTTTTCAGATCAATCAGCGATTGGAGCCATGAAAGTTCTTTTAAACTAAATTGACCGGGGTTTTTAATGTTTAGGAAGTTCAGCCATTAATAAACCTAAAACCTTATACATTGGTGGAGTCCTCAGCACAACAGCAACTGCACAGGCGTTCACAATGGAGGCACAGGTAGAAACCAGCTGATCAATGGTCAACTGAAAAACAATCAGCTGATCAATGGTCAGCTGAATAACAATCAGCTGATCAATATTCAGCTGAATACCAATCAGCTGATCAACAATCAGTCGAATAACGATCAGCTGATCAATCTGAATAAAATCTGAATAAATAAAAATCTGAACTAAATTAAAATGGTTTTGTTTTTTAAAAGTTATTTATGCGTACATCAATAAATCAATAATAAATAAAATCAATTAGTCAACAATCAGCTAAAAATAATCAAATTATCAGCAATCAGTTAAATGATAATAAAAACAATCAATTTATCAGCATTCAGTTAAAGCAATCAGCTGATTATCTATCATTAAACAATAATCAGATGATTACAATCATTTATTCAGCAATTTATAAATCAGCAAGATAACAATGAATTTATCAATAATCAGCCAAAATAATATAATCAATTAATTAATCAGCCAAATGAATAACGATTAGTTATTCAACAAACAACTGATTGAATATCAAAAATATAAAATCAGCTTTTTAAAGCTTATTTTTATCTTTAAAATAAAATGAAACCACTTTGAGAAACAACTGTTTGCAAAAGTTACAAAATATTTTATTAAATATGAATTTCATTCTTTTTGCACTTTGCACTAGGATTACAGGGGCGAATATAGGAATATGTGAAGGGGGAAGGCTTTAATTTGTAATCGACTCTGACTCAGAAATAAGTTTTCGATCCTAATTTTATTAAACTCTATATAAATAATTTATAATCATTGGTTTCTAGTACTTTTCATATATAGTAATAATTTAATGAAAGAGTACAGGATAGAGATGTCAGCGATAGTGTAACGTAACGTAAAATGTACGTTTTTGTACATTACGTTACAAGAATGTGTAACGTTTGGATATATTCTATATAACGTGAACGTTAAACGTTAACGTTATAGGAGTGTTCATACCTAACGTTAACGTTAAACGTTAACGTTAGAGGAATATACCCCCAACGTTAGCGTTTTGTGGAAATGTAAAGTTATTTTTCTAATATCTACAACTTTTTTGACCATAACGTAAAGAAATGTTTTGTTTCCAAAGGGAGCTTGAAAGTCTAACGTTTGAAAAATGAATTGTGATTTGATTGAATATCGTAACGAAAGGATTTCTATTTCAAAGTT